AGCATATAAAAGCAGATATTTATACCAAAACAAGTATAGTGCTTCACATCTGGAGCCCTATCCATTAAAGGATTGAAAACTATACCTGAGAGATGCATTGAAAAGCAATCAAAATTAAGTATAGCATGGCCGAGTGCGGTGGCTTACACCTATAATCCCAGCACTCTGGGAGGCCGAGGTAGGTGGATCACGAGGTCAGGAGATCAAGACCATCCTGGCTAACAGGGTGAAACCCCGTTTCTACTAAAAATACAAAAAATTAGCTGGGCGTGGTGGCGGCGCCTGTAATCCCAGCTACTCGGGAGGCTGAGACAGGATAATTGCTTTAACCCGGGAGGTGCAGGTTGCAGTGAGCCGTGATCATGCCACTTCTCTCTAGCGTGGGCAACAGAGTGAGACTCTGTCTCAAAATAAAAATAAAAAAATTAAGTATAGCACCAACATACTTTGAAGGATGGTTAGCAGGAGAAATAATGTAATTTTCAATGACAAAATTTGTTTTAATAAACGAGTCTATGAAAATAAATTTAGTTCATGATACATTAAAAATTAGAATTCTTTATCTTGGAATATAGACTTTAAGTTCTAATACACTTATTTCACTCATTATGTTTTGTAAAGGGTTTGTAAGTAGATCACAAAGTGCTGTGTGTTATTCCAGTGCAGTTTCTTGCCGACGTGAATACCACTAATGCAGTTGCCTGACCCCCAAGTGCTGAAGCACTGATATTCTTCTCAAGCCTAACTTGAGTAAATACCTAAAGGAAGCTGGTTGAACCAGATAGCGTCTGAAAGTCTCTCCTGGCAAAAATGTAATATAGTGTGTAATAAAAATAAAAGCCACTTGTGAGTTGTGAGAAATATAAACAACAAAATCAACTTTTTAGAGAAATATTTAAATTGAATGTTTCACCTAGCGATTTAACTCAGGCTGGTCGAGAGTGAAAGGACTTTTTTACACAATGCAGTGAACACTGGTAGATGGCACTTTAAAAACGTTAAAGAAGCCTATCACAAAACACGATATAAAAAGAATTACAGCTGGCAAGCTTTTTAAAAACAAAAAAGATTGGTAAATACAGCTCAAATATGGGAGGACTAGAAGGCAGGTCGCCAGCTTCCAAAAACCAGTGTATGATCAGTATTTTCTTCCAGGGATGTAGGGTCCAGCTTCTTACTCAAGCTGTCAGCAGGGCAAGTGGGCAGATGTAGGGGGACTCAAGAGCCAAAGACAGCACATTCCCCAGGCTCCCCTCTTTTGGGAGAACCTCACCAGACTGAAGGAGATCTTGCTGAGTCTTCTGAGTCCTAAACAACTAATCACACTAAACATACCCTGTTTATGCACAAGCTTCAAATTGACTCATTATAAAAAGTTAAGGAAATTCTGAAGTAACTCTCAACCTATTTTATTGCTTGTTGTATGCTTAAATAAAAATGTCTGGGTTGGCCAGGCACAGTGGCACACGCCTGTAATCCCAGCACTTTGGGAGGCCGAGGCGGGTGGATTACCTGAGGTCAGGAGTTCGAGACCAGCCTGGCCAACATGGTGAAACCCTGTTTCTACTAAAAATACAAAAACTAGCTGGGTGTGGTGGCGTGTGCTTGTAATCCCAGCTGCTTGAGAGGCTGAGGCAGGAGAATCACTTGAACCCGGGAGGCGGAGTTTGCAGTGAGCTGAGATCCGGCCACTGCACTCCAGCCTGGCAACAGAGCAAGACTCTGTCTCAAAAAAAAAAAAAAAAAAAGTCTGGGAATTTTTCCTTTCAACATGTGTATGTAATTAATTCAGCAAATATTTATTAAGCACATACTACATGTCGGCTGCTGTTCTAGGGGCCGAGGGTAAAACAAAATAACAAAATAGTTGCAAACCTCAGCCTCTCAGGGCTTATATGTGGGGGGTGAGCATTTACAATCAAATAAGTAGGTAAAATACGTAGTATGCCTGGGGAGTTAAGTGCTGCAGGAGAAAAAATGTCAGAGGAGCCCGGGGAGCTCTGTGGTGGTGTTGGTGGGGTCTGTTGTTTAAATAGGATGATCTGGGAGGTCATTGACAAGCGATCTTGGAACAGAGAGTTGGGAGGAGCCATGCAGGCATCGGGGAGACCTTCCAGGTAGAGGGAATTCTAACTGTGGAGTCCTTGAGGTGGGGTCACACTTGGGGGACTCCTGGTCGAGTAAGACCACTGTTCCTGGGGCAGGAGGAGTCGGGGCGAGAGGGACTGGATGAAGGCAGGGAACCGTGTCCGGGGGTGAGGAGTTTGGTTTTTGCTGTGAGTGAAATGAGAAGCCACAGGAAGGTTTGTTGCAGAGGTGGGGCATGAACCGACGCATGCTTTGAAAGGACCACTCCAGCCTCTACGTTAGAAATCGACTGTAGGAGATTTAGAGGCACAGGCAGGGGGACGGTCAGGTGGCTGTTGCAGTGACCCAGGTGAAAGACCATGGCAGAGGTGCTGATTTCGGGGATCCAAGAGCTGTCCTCATCACAGGATTGCTGTCAGCTCTCCAGCAAACCATGACAAAATTGTTTTAAATGGATACTGAAGTTTTCTCAATGTTACGTAGGGGTGAACAAAACCATTATCCAGTAGACAGAATAATGGCCCCCAGAGACATTCGTGTTCTAATAACCCCTGGAGCCTGTGGAGAGGTCACTTTACGTGGAAGAGGAGGAGGCTCTGCAGGTGTGGTTATGCTCAGGCTCTCGAGAGGGAAAGGCCATCCTGGGTTATCCAGGCAGGCCCAGTGCTATCACAGGGGTCTCTGTGAGGGGCAGACAGAGGCATCGGAGCCAGAGGAGGAGGTGTGATGGAAACAGAGGCTCAAGCAAGGAATGTGGGCAGCTTCTAGAAGCTGGAAAAGGCAAGCAATCTCTCCCCTTCAACCTCCAGAAAAACACAGCCTTGCCCACGCTTTCATTTTAGACTCGTAAGACCTATTTTTTGACCTCCACAACTATAAGATAAAATTGTGTTAAGCCACTAGGTTTCTGATAATTTGCTACAGCAATAATAGGAAACTATATATATAGGACTAGGAATATGTAGAAATAGAAATACATTCACATGTGTTCTTAGAAAACTTTGCTGGTTGTGTCCATCTGTAGCAATATTGTAAGTACTGTGCTTGCTTTTGGTTCAGACTCCCTGGCCACCCTTCCCCATCCAATTGCGCTCTCCTAGGCTGTCCTTTATAGAAATTCTGGAGCCATTATTTCAGATGATAAGCACTTTGAAATAAATACAATAGAGGGAAGTGGTTGAGAGTGACTGCGTGTCCAGAGAAGGAGGCTTCTTTGAGGAGATGGCACGTGCGCTGCTACTGAAAGATGAGCAGGACCAGCAGGGGAAGACCAAGTCCAGGACAAAGGTCCTAGGGTGAGAATTAACCTGGTCTGTTGAAGAGTACCGACTCTTCGCTTCAGTCTTGTGAGCAAAGGACACAATGGTGGTAGATAAAGCCAAAGACATCAGCAAAGTCCGGCTTATATAGGGTCTTTTAGGTGATAGAGGCATTTGGACATTGTCACTGTGGTGAAAAGCCATCAGAAGGTTTGGAAGAATAGAGTGACTGGAGCTTACTTACATTTTACACATTGGCTGCTGGGTGGGGAATGGTTTTCAAGAAGGGAAAGAATGAAAGTGGAGTTTTCAGCAGTGTAGTTGAGAGCAGTCAGAGTAACCTGAACTAGTGCGGTAGCAATGGAAATGTAGAGAGGTAGACAGATTTTGGATTGAAAGTTAGAATTGATAGGACTTGCTGATGTGGGGCTTGAGGGAAGAGAGAACCATCAGGGATACATCTGGTACTTTGGCTTGAGCCACTGGCTCTGATCTAAGGAAGACTGGAGGAGTTCAAAGAAACGAGTCAATGAATAATGCGCTTATGAAATCATTAAACATTTAGGGGTTGAATAATGCTGGCTGTCAGTCCTGGATATTTGAAAATACTATGTGATGAATAGCCTAATTTTAGATAATCAGAATATGTGAAAATGCCTGTCGTTAAATTGGAAGGAGATTTAAAGATTTGTTTTAGACCATAACTTATTTTTAACAAGGACAACTCCAAATCACCCCTAAAAATAAATGTGTGACTTTTGCACAAAAGAAATCCCAGAGAAGAGTATTTATATTCTGATTCATCTTTTTACTACATTTACCATCAGGAAAGTCTTCATAATCTCCCATTTTAACTTCGTAGCTAAGAAGTACTTCTGTTCTTTGTATAAAGGGAAAAATGAATACCTTTTTAATTTTCTTTTTTTTCTTTTTCTTTTTTTTTTGAAATGGAGTCTCGCTCTGTCATCCAGGCTGGAGTGCAATGGCATGATCTCAGCTCACTGCAACCTCCACCTCCTGGGTTCAAGCAATTCTCCTGCCTCAGCCTCCCAAGTAGCTGGGACTACAGGCGCCTGCCACCACGCCCAGCTAATTTTTTGTATTTTTAGTAGAGACGGGGTTTCACCGTGTTAGCCAGGATGGTCTTGATCTCCTGACCTCGTGAGACACCTACCTCAGCCTCCCAAAGTGCTGGAATTACAGACGTGCGCCACCGCCCTGGCCACGGATTCCTTTTTAAAGATACCAGCTTGATTTTCCTCCCAATTAACCTTTGTAGAACTTGGTAACTTGATTATTTTAGGTTAATGCTTCAATTCCAAGTTTAACCCTGAAGAACTTTGATAGATACAGAGAATTTATTAACATCTGAAGTTATTAACATCTGAAAATATGGTCACTAGATTTCAAATGTTTATCATACATAAAATATTCTAAATGACAGATTAAATATCTCCCTGTGATTGAAACACAGTGACATGTTTCAGAATAATATTTAATTATCTTTTTAAAAAATAATTAATTTTGGAAATTTATGACTGGGATGAAAAATACGTTTTCAGGCTCATAGTAAATCAGTATTAACAAACAAGTTGACTCCCTCATTCCCTCTCTGTCTCTTTCTCTCTCCTCTCATGAACACACCCGTGGCAGATGGTGCGTGAGCAGTACACTACAGCCACAGAAGGCACCCACATAGAGAGGCCAGAGAATCCGTATGTCTACAAAATTGGCATTTATGGCTGGAGAAAGCGCTGCCTCTACTTGTTTGTTCTTCTTTTACTCATCATTCTCGTTGTGAATTTAGCTCTTACAATTTGGATTCTTAAAGTGATGTGGTTTTCTCCAGTAAGTATCATTGTTTTCTGGTAAGCATGTTCTTGTTTTGTTCACTGTATCACTTCGTCTATATTATATTGATAGGAGTTTCCTTTTATGTGATTAACATTCATTTCTTTGCTATCTGGATCAGAATTTCAGGAGCAAAATATGTATGTAGCATTTACATTTTTCCCTTTTCCTGAAACCTCATTGTGAACTATAGTGTGTTGGTTTTGTGTATTTTTGCTGTAATTTTTTTCATTAGTCATCTCTATATAGTGGGAATATTGTAATAGTCTTTAGTTTGTGGTTGATTGAGTCAAGATTATTTACTGATTATTTAATTCATCAGTTTGTAAAACTGTATAAATCATTTTCTTAATTTTCATTAATTCATAAATATTTACTTTAAATGGCACTCTCCTTTAAATTTTTTTTTTATTTACAGGTAATCAAGTTACACTTTCATTTTTTAAAAACCCTTTACTAATAGACAGTAAATTCATGTACACACTTCAGCATTCAGCAACAGATTTAGTAACTAAAACGTCAATCCTAAGGAATTCATATTCTATTTTAAACATTCTTATGTTTTAAAGATAGCTACATAATTTTGTATTCTTTGATAATATTTTGTGTACTTTTGAAAAAATGCTTAATGTAGAATGTCTTAATTTTACAAGATAGCCACAGTGAGACAAAAATATTGCAGAGAACATTGCAGGCAGGTCAGTCTGTTGCTTACATGCATCTGAAGGTGTGATATATGCACAGGCCCCTCCCTCCCTCCCTCCCTCCCTCCCTTCCTTCCTTCCTTCCTTCCTTCCTTCCTTCTTTTTTGACGGAGTCTTGCTCTGTTGCCCAGGCTGGAGTGCAGTGCTGCAATCCTATCTCACTGCAACCTTCACCTCTGCACAGGCTCTTTCTGAGAACAATGCTTGAAGTCATTCATTCTGAAACACCTTCTATTACTATTCTTCTTCACTTTCTATGCAAGTATTTCTATCCCACTATAGTTCTAGCCAGTAGATACATTATTTATTTTATTGACATAATAAATATTTTTGTTTTTATATATGCAAAGAGGTAAAATACCAATCAAATCAAAATATAGTTTGAAACTGTGTTAGTATATTTGATATATTAATATGAATGCAATCAATATAAATGTATAATATAAGCTGTTATAAATTATAAGTATTATAAATATATATGAACAATTACGTAAATATATTCAAATTAATCCAATTTAAGTTGTGATTTCTTGGTTAAAATTTATAAAATCACTATTTCTACAGCATCACAATAGTACTTAGTCCCATTGGACAGTGTTACTTCATGAAAGTGGCACAACTAACAGGATGCATGTTTTTGCACATCATATAAATTTTAATATCTCAATGTAAAATAGTTTAACATTTTCTGGAGACTGAAGCAGTGTTAAAGTCCTCAAATTATAAACTATGGGATTTGCCAGAGACAACTCTGAATAGAGAGCCCTACATCAGCCTGCTGTAGGACTGTCAGTTATGCAGAAGGTTAAGAGAGGCAGTGTCCTGGGTAGGCTGCCCATGGAAGGGCCCAGGAGTGAGGAGAAGCCACCCACAGCCCAGTACGTGCTGAGAAGGACAGACTTTATCTGGAATGAATGATGTGCCTTGTTTATGAAATATGGGGGTATTAATTTTGTAAACTATTTGACTGTAAAATGACAATATGTCTACTTTATAATCTTGTCATGTGGCATCTAAAACAACTTTGAGGTATTATAAATGTGGATTAAATTAAGTTGTGCCAGCTGCTGAGTCCATTTCACTGATGGAGAAGGGCTCCCCACAGACATCAGCACAGACGTTCCTGCCGTCACCGCAGCTGCCCATCCCCTGCCCTTTCAAGTGAGATGTGGTCGAGTGTGGTATTTTCTTCAGTTAGGAACCTGTTGCTAATTGGTAGTGAGTATTCAGGATTCTTTAGTGCTGTCTTTAACAAAATAAGAAAAACTACTCTAACATTTATGGACTCAAAAGGCAAGATACCCAAAGGCACTAACCTACAGAAAATGCCAGGCCTTAATTGGAAGATGCTGGTTAGACTTTGCATCATTATTCTCAAAGCGGAATGACATAAATGATGTAATTCTCATAGGTGCATGAGTTTGATTTCTTACTTTTGTAATCATCTCATATGTTTTGAAACAGTAAATTGTAAATTAACATATGTTTTAATTACTGATTTGAAAGATTTTAAAATATAAGATTTCATGTTCTATTTATTTTAAATTTTATTTCAAGAACAAAATTAACACAAGATCTACCCTCTTAACAGATTTTAATTGTACAATATGATATCATTAACAATAGGTACAATGTTGTACAGCAGATGTCTAGAACTTACTCATCCTGCTTGATTGAAATGTGAAGTCCATTGATTAATAGCACCCATTCTCACTTCCTTAGCCCCTGGTAACCACCATTCCACTCTTTGTTCAATGAGTTTGCCTACTCTAGATACCTCATATAAGTGGAAGCATGTAATATTTGTCCTTTTGTGCTTATTTCACTTTGCATAATGTCCTCAAGGTTTATCTGTGTTGTCTCACATTGCAGAACTTTTTTCTTTTTTAAGATGAATAATATTCTACTGTATGGATATACATTTTCTTTATTCATTTGTTGTCTGTAGACTTTTAGGTTTTTTCCACATCTTAATTGACTAGTATAAATAGTGCCACAGTGAACATGAAAGAGCAGATACCTGTTCCAGTTTCTGATTTCCATTCTTTTGGATAAACAACAAACTATCTGAAAAGGAAATTAGAAAAACAATCCCATTTTCAATAACATCAAAAAGAATGCAATATCTAGAAATAAACTTAACTAAGAAGATGAAAGACTTACATAATGACAACTATAAAATACTGATGAAAAAATTAAAGACACAAATGAGAAGATATCCCATGTTCATTGATTGGAAGACTTGGTATTAATAAAATGTACATTCTACCACAAGTGATCTATAGATTCAGTGCAATTCCCATCAAAATCCTAATGTTATGGTTTTTACAGAAATAGAAAACACAATCCAAAAATTCATGTGGAATTACAAAAGACCTGAAACAGCCAAATCAGTTTTGAGAAAGAAGAACAAAGCTAGAGGCATCATGCTTCCTGATTTTGAAATATATTACAAAGCTATCATAATTTAAACAGTATGGTACTGGCATAAAGAAAGGCATATAGACTACTGGAATAGATATTCTAGAAAAAAAATCCATGCATGTGTGATCAACTGGTCTTTGACAAGGGTGCCAAGAATATCAAATGAGGAAAAGATAGTCTGTTCAACAGTGCTGGGAAAACTGGATTTTCACATGCAAAAGAAGAATTTGGACCCTTATCTGAAACCATGCATAAAAATTAATGCAAAATGGATTAAAGATTTAAACATAAGGCCTAAAAGTGTAAAACTTCTGGAAGTAGATATTTGGAGAAAAGCTTCATGACATTGGTCTTGGAAATGATTTCTTGAATATCAAAAGTACAGGCAACCAAAGCAAAAATAGACAAGTGGGACTACACTATACTAAAAAGCCTCTGTGCAGCAAAGAAAATAATCAGCAGAGTGAAAAGGCAACCCATGAAATGGGAGAAGATATTTGCAAACTATATATCTGATAAGGGGTTAATTTCCAAAATATATAAGGAACTCCTATAACTCAAGAGCAAAAAGACAAATAACCCGATTAAAAATGGACAAAACATCTGAATAGACATTTCTCCAAAGAAGACATAGAATGGCCTAAGTGTTCAGCATCACTAATCATCAGGGACATGCAAATCAAAACCATTATGAGCTACTATCTCACACCTGTGAGGATGGCTATTATCAAAAAGCAAAACACAGCAAATATTGGCAAGGATGTGGAGAAATTGGAATCCTCGTGCGCTGTCGGTGAGAATGCAAAATGGTGCAGCCACTATGGAAAACAGTATGGAAATTCCTTTAAAAATTAAAAATCAAACTTCCTTATGATCCAACAATTCCACTTTCAGATATTTATCCAAAAGAATGGAAACCAATTTCTTTTTTATTTTCATATATAAACCAATGTATTTTCTTGAACATTAACATCCCAAAGAAGTATGTCTGTAAGAGAACTTTTAATATGTCTATAAAAGAACTCTTTTGAGCACTTTGACACTGAAATGGTAAAGTTAAATAGGGCTTTGAGCATTTGCAGAGATCTGCGTAGTTTTGAGCTTGTAACAACTACCATATAATTATTTACCCAGACTCAGTGTAATTGCTTATCTATCACCCATCCAGTTGTTAGAATATAGGGAAACCCATAATTTTTCAAATTAACAAAGTTTAGCATGGCTTTCTCTGCTCAGATCCTCAACAGTGTAGCAATGGCACCTTTATTAGTTTACATGTACTGTCATTTCAACACCTCATCGTGCTTTAATGTTTCACTGTAGAAAACGGTAAAACTAACTACAAATGATGTATTCAACAATGCCAAGTTAACATTAGGAGAGAAAGCCAGTAAAACATCACAAAATGAATGCATAAGGACACCAAAGAATATTAAAAGTTTAAAAAAAAGGGAGAGAGAAGACAAGAGCAAAATGTTGACAGGAGTATTAATCTGAATTCAAATAAGGCTGAGCCTGGTTTTATCTGCCCAGCTGGGGTTAGAAAGAACCCAAATTACTAGTATCTCACAAATCCAGTTCTATTCTTAGAATTAAAACTTGATGTAAGAGAAATTTTCACAATTTCCAGAAAAGACATCTGTTGAATATAAAGTAATATTTAGGACATTGTAACAACTGATGCTGAGCATAAAGATTCTAAAATATTCCCTGTTAGCCATTATAATAGTTAAATCAGTTAGTCAGGAATGCAGTTATTAAAAGAAATCAGTGTAGTAGAGTACCTTATTATGCTTTGTCCCTATTATATTTTCATTCTATAAAAATAATATGCAATATTAGTTACAGTGTTCACGAGTGTAGAATAAT